GGGTATTTGCTATAGGGTTCCCATCTATACTCCAATCAATTATCATGTATCAGATGTCAATCAATTTGACTATGTTGTCAAGTGATTGAGAGAGGGCGGAGCTAGCAGATCACGTGGCACAGGTTTATGTCAGGTTTACGCATGCTCAATTTCGTTGACCGCCGTAATTCAAGACAGCTGAACTAGAAATATTAATTTATCAATTTCGCAATCAAGGATTTCAAGCTGAGAAGATAGTGTGATATTCTGCCCCATCTATTGTTAATATTAAGGTATGCAAAGGCAACTCTGGCCTTCCAAAATTTTCCACCACATCGCTACCAATCAAGCCTTATTACAGGTTCTACCCAAATTCATGAGGTCAGCTGGCTTCAAACCAGCCCCCCTCTTCTCCAATACTTATTTTCCCCCTCCTAAATCCAATGAGGACTGACAACATTCTGATAACATTCTTTAATGTTAGACCCTTCAACAACATCAAGCACTGTTGTTTATACTTTTGGCCTCAATTAGTATAGAAAGGCTCGTGCAATTACAAAACATTACTCGTGTCTATTAATTTCCAAATTGTACTCGAGATCGTGTGATTTTTTGTTCATAGTTCACTCAACAAAATTTCAGTAAAAAATGCGAAACGACGCCGTTCATCTTTGTCTATTTGGTGGCCGATTTTCAGTCCATCGCGCAACTGAAATGCATAAAAAAGATTAGTTCTTATTAGCTTTTACAGCTTTTTTTTTTGCCGCTGTTGACATTCTTTTGGCCGTGTTTCCATAGCGACTTAATTCGGTACTCCTACAGAGTACAATTGACGCTATAATTGTACTCCTCTCAACCAATCAGAGTCGAGTAATTTTGTTGAGTGTACTATAAGCTAGGGAACGCTAAACTGAACCCCAACAACTTGTTACACTCCCGATATCCTTGACCAGGCGCTAGATCCAATATTCTGGTTCATGAAGGTTTAACAGGGACAAATCGGGCAACTCTTCACCCCTTATAATATCATCATTAGTCGGTAGACCCTTTGGACCTTCCTCAACAGGAACCCCATTCACATCTACCCATTTCATTCAAATTGAGCTCCCTGTGACTTGCGTATCGGTAGCTCCGCTTTTAGGCAGTGCCTAAATATAYTTATAGCCACAACTTCTACTTAAGTTGTCAGTGGTTTGACTAATATGTTATAATACACTTTGCCCAGCTCTAGTGTTTTTACAGTATATCTAGATATTCATAAACTTTAGTAAATAATTGTTTGAGACTAAGAACAGTCTCTTTTTATCATACCTGTCATTAATGTACTCAACTGCTTCATGTACATCAGCAACACTTACGATGGGTAGAAGAGGACCAAATACCTGTAAACACAAATGTAGTGTAATAGTTTCAGTTTAGGTTTTTCTTACACGT